ATTTCCAGTATGATTTTAAATATGATGTAAGTATCAGAGGTCAGCCAACGTTTTCAGCAAAGGGTGATAGTAAATATTTTATGCTCTGAGGGCCATACGTACTATCTCTGTTGCAATGACTCAACTCTGCTATTTTAACATGAAAGCAGATGTAGACAATAAGAAATGAACGGGCATGGCTGTTTCCCAAAACATAACCCTGTATTTACAAAGCAGGTGGTAAGCTGAATTTTGCCTGAAGGCTGTGTGGTTTGCCAAATTCATTTGGGATTTTTAATAAAATTATTACAGTTGAATCAACATTGATGCCAATAATGAAGACTATTGTTGCTGTAAGTTCAACATTTGAATTATCTGAGTAAATAAGAATGAATGGGTATTTCCTAACTACCAATATTAATATTAGATATGACAGCCAAAGGATATGAAAATTGCTTTAATTTTTCGTCTTTTAGCTGAATCTCTTAGTGTGGTCAATGGGAAGAGTTAAGGCCCTTGAAGACTGTATGAGCAATTTATTCTATAGCAAAGAGCAAAGAAGTTTGAGACTAAATACTTCACCTGAGATTCAAACTTGCTATTTTTTTTAAAGCTAAATGTAGCTAATAAATATTTCCTAAACAGCTACTTTATGCTAAGTGCTTTGGAGGATACAAAACAAGAAGGAAACATGGTCTTCAACTCCAAGCAACACAACGTTCTTTAGGGAGAAACAAAGACTGGCTAAGATGTTATATCATCAAATGATAAAATATGTNTAACACACAACGTTCTTTAGGGAGAAACAAAGACTGGCTAAGATGTTATATCATCAAATGATAAAATATGTGCTAAGGCTTAGGGGTGACCAAATCTGAAGAGAGGAAAGTCACCACTTGGAGGGCTATGGGGAGGTAGGGGAGTGAGGAGGAAGGAGCAGTGAGAGAGGAGAATGACCTGTGGGCTTGAGTAGGTGCATTGGGTAGGCTGAACCATCTGACCAAAGTGGGTGTTGGTGAATGTTGGTAGACAAGATGTTGGGGACGGCTCCCACTTGCTTTTCTTGCAGAGGTGAAGCAGGATGGTCTGGATCTCAAGTCCAGCCAGGAGTTAGAGGAAGAGGGGACCTCAGAACAGGAATGCCCAGTTTAATGGAGAACGGAGTGACGCTTACTTCAGGTAGAGATTGAGAGGCTGGGTACGAGGAGAAGAATGGTTGAGATTCCCAAGTGTTGCTGGGGAAGTTTCTAAGATCTAGAGAGGCCGTGTTCCCATTTATTACCAAATTTTGCACTGTTACTTAGGCACTGGGTATACAATAGGTGTGACAATCAAGGTACTTGCTTAGGTTGACAGGTAAAATATATGTAGCAGTTAAATTTTATTTTTTGATAGACAATGAATACTTGTTTAGTATAAGTAATCCCAAATAATGGATGGCACAGTTATACTAGAAAATTATTGTTTATCTGAAATTCAAATTTAACTGGATATCCTACATTTTAATTTGCTCAATCTGGCAACCCCAGTCCCTTCTCTCATAGAGCAGAGTCTAAACTGATATCGATCATATAAATATGTGATAAGTGGAATCAAGGGCGAAAAGCCAATAATATAAACAAGAATACCAAGGAAGACCGACGTTCTGTGGGTGGGGTCAGGGAAGGCCTCTCTGATTCAGGTGGACAAGAGCATGGCAGGCCGGAGGGACAAAGCGGGTGCAGGGTCTAAAGGAGGAAGCGAAAGAAGGGGAGCACGCCTGGAACTCGGTGTACCTCAGAGCTGTGCAAGAGGCGGCGGCACAGACAGGCAAGGGCACCACTACACGGGGCTTTGTCATCCAGGGAAGTAGCAGGCCTTTTTTCCTACCTTAAATGCGATGGGAAGCCATGCTCGTTTTAAGCAGAGAAATGAGACAATGCAACCTCCATTTAGAATGTTTATCTGGCTGTGAAATGGAGAATGAGCTGGAAGAGGCCAAGAATGAGAACAGGTGAGACAGGTAAGAAGCTAGTGTGGCGTCCCAGGCAGGAGAGGAGGGCGGCCTGGGTCAGGGCGATGGCAGGGCCCGTGAAAGGAGGGAGAAGCTTCGGGATACATTTTGAAGGTAGAAACCTCGGACTTGAACATAGATTGGGTGTGGGGTCTGGGCGGAGAGAAGGTGAAGGACGATTTCCACGTTTCTGGTTTCAACACTTGGGTGGATAGTGGTGCGACTTACTGAGGGAGGGCTCTGGAGGCGGAGCGGTGCTCTGGGGGAGGTGGAAAGTGAACGGTAGCACTTTTGGATATTATAAGTTTATGAGATGACAGCCTCGTACAGGTGACAAGGAGGCAGCTGGAGCTCAGAAATGAGAGTTCTGGATGGGAAATATATAATTTGGGGAGCCACTGACATGTACGTAGAGGCAAGAAAGGTTTTAATGACAATACAATAATAATGCTTACTGAGCACCTGCCATGTGTCAGATTCTGTTTTGAGCCCCATGAGGTAGGTACTATTACCACAGGTGAACTTGGACTTGAACCCAAGGAGCCCAACACTGTGCCCAGGCACATCCACAATGCAAAACCAGCTGTTAAAAGTGAACTAACATTAGACTACCCCTCCCTCCTGAGAAAAACCATTGACTCTCCATCAGCAGAGAATTTCAAAATAGGTTGGACGTTTGATAGTCAAAAGAAACTCATAATCCTCACACATTCAATGACATCAGTCTTCAGGTTCTATTCAAATACCAGTCACTTTTGTACTGATTTTCTTTTAGCAGAACAGTTCGTAGTCACTCTCACCTTCCTCCTTTTTCTAAAATGCCCAACAGAGCACTTTTGAATGGTTTGGAACATTATATAAACATCCGCTTGAGTAATGTGGACAAATGCCCAATGACAGGTCATAGGGAAACCTAATACCTTTTTATTCCTTTATAATCTTTGGGGCTTTGTTTTAATAATTCATGGAGACATTAACCTTTCAGGTGGATTTGAGAATCCTTTTTATTTAATGCAATTTTGTTTGTGTTCTTAAACCAAGGACATCGGAGTATTTATTCCCTACTGAATAGGGCATTGTGTACATGTACCTTTGTTTCCTCTGAAAACAGCTCTTACCCTTCATACATCTGCTCAGGGCTCGGCGTGGGGCTTGCTACATGTTACATTGTTCCCTGCACAGGAGATGATGCGATGATGTGATGTGCTCCAACAGGTGTGCTGTTAGGACAATACCCCCATTTTCCTAACGCCCTGGTTCCCCCTACAGCATCATTTCCATAATACTCTTTTGTCTGAGTCTATGAAGAAAGTACGACATAATTATTTTTGTAATAGGAAACAGGACCTGAAATGGCAAGGTTTTCACCTGAGACATCAGGTGAAAGTATGTTAGTGGCAGACTGTTGAAAAACCGTTTTAAAATAATGAAAAGTACTCTGTGAGGTATGTAATTGGCTACTGTGCTGTGCACTTGAAACCAATGCAGAATAATGTCGAAGGCAGACTGTGGTTGAAAAATAATTTTAAAAAAAGATTGCATTGCAATCTGTCACTTCTACTCAGCCTTCCTTTCTTCCTTCCCTGGGGTGAGACTTGCATCACTGTCTGATAGTTTTCCAGGCGTCTCCCAGCTTCCTTCCTGTTTTCTCTCACAGGCATTTTCCCCAATAAATTTCTTGCACCTTTAACTGAAAATAAAAATGAAATTGGATTTGAACCCTGCTCTGCACCTTAGTTTGTAACCTTGGGAAAGTGGCATTTTTCAGTCTGCTGTCTCATCTGAAAACAAAAACAAAAAAACCCCACCCCCACAACCAAAACCAACCAAAACAAACAACCCCTTTCTAGGGTGGTTGTGAGCGCCCAACTCAAAAGCACTGAACAGAAAGCTCTGAGCATATGATGGGCTCAACAAACAAAACCCAAAGCCCAGCCCATGAAGTTCAACTATAAACAAGATGGAAGCAGAGTGCACCAGAAAGATGTCACTGCATGAAAAAGAAGGCTCCCCAGCTTTTTATGAGCCTTTTTAGGGAAAAAAGCAAAGGAGATGGAATCACAAGAGAAGCTGCATGGAGTAGGTGCTAGGAGGGTAAGGGAAGGCGTGAGGAGACCGAGGGCTGCACAGGTGAGGAAGAGCTCAGCAACGATTTGGAGATAAAGCTGGGAGGCAATTAGGAGGAATCAGAAGAACTTGGTAATTACAAAGGGTCATGAGAGGAGTCCGGAATGAATATGGGATTCTGACTTGGGGGCTTGGGTGTTGGTGATGACAGTGAACGAGATAAGGAAATGAAAGCGCAGGGAACATGGACAGATGAAGAATGGGATGTAGAGCTGGAATGATCATCCTGAGGCAGGAGGAGACTGACCTCTCCCTCCAAACTCGGCAAAGGAGGTAACTTGGGCACATAAGTAGGTCTGGAGGGATGAGGGAGCATGAGTCCGAGAAAGCTGATATTGTCGAACCTCACTCTTCACTATCGAATCATAGGCAAGCTCAGGGGCTCGTATGGGACACAGTACATGCGGGAAGGTAGGGGCAGGGAATAGCCGTTAAGGGTTGGGGAAGCACTCTGACAAATCAGGGAAAGTGAATAGGGACAACTTCAAGAAGCTGGCATGGGAGGGTATTTCAAGGCATCAAGGTAACCTAGAGAGTTATATCCAATTCTTTCTAGATCAGCAACAGAACCCATTCATCCTTAGAGAGACTAAACTAAAAGGATTTATTTTCCAGTGTAGTATGTGTGGGATACCAACCAAATTCCCAATTAAACTGGGCATGGGATCAATTGCATCTGTGGACTAGTTGTGTCATCTCCTGTATGAAAGTGAGAGTATCCTACGGGATTCTTAGAGAGCCCTAAACATCTGGAATCGTAATAATGCAGAGACTTGAGTTTCTCCCCCATAATCCCATAATCAAGTAAGACAAGAAATGAATGATCTACGGAATAGAAATAAATGAATCATGATGAAATTGTTTTCTTTTGCAGAATCTTGCCTTCTTTTGAGCCTAAGCCATGAGCTGGATGCTGCTCAGAGACCTCCTAAGTGGAGCAAATAAATACTCGACCGGGATCGGGCGGATCTGGCTGGCTGTGGTGTTCACCTTCCGCCTGCTGGTCTACATGGTGGCAGCAGAGCACGTGTGGAAAGACGAGCAGAAAGAGTTTGAGTGCAACGTTAGACAGCCTGGTTGTGAAAATGTGTGTTTTGACTACTTCTTCCCCATCTCCCAGGTCAGGCTTTGGGCCTTACAGCTGATCATGGTCTCCACACCGTCACTGCTGGTGGTTCTGCACGTCGCCTACCGCGAGGGCAGAGAGAAGAGACACAGGAAGAAACTCTCCGTGAGCCTGGGAACGATGGACGGGGGCCTGTGGTACACTTACCTCACCAGCCTCATTGTTAAAATCGGTTTTGAAATTGGCTTCCTGGTCTTATTTTACAAGCTGTATGACGGCTTCAGGGTCCCGGACCTGATGAAGTGTGCTGTGGAGCCTTGTCCCAACACTGTGGACTGCTTCACGTCCAAGCCCACCGAGAAAACCATCTTCACCCTCTTCATGGTGACTACCTCATGCCTGTGCACTGTGTTGAATTTCATCGAACTGAGCTTTCTGTTTCTCAAGTGCCTGCTTAAGTGCTGTCTCCAAAAATACTGTAAAAGACTCAAGCCCTCAGTGTGTGAGTGCCCCCCTCTCAGATATGCTGAACGTGGTGAGGCTGGGGCCCCTCGGCTACTCCAGGGTCACCATTCAGCCTCCGCCATAAGCACACCCCAGTGAAGTGAAACCAGGCTACGCTGTGACACACAAGAGGGTTAAAGAAAACCTGCATCCCTCCTAAGTCAGACCGAGGCTGGGTTGGAAAACAAAGGGTGTCAGCCTTGATGCAATTTGGCATTAAAACTTTTTTCAACAGGTGCTCAATCATGTGCACTAGACAGGTCTCACTGTTCTGTCGCAGGGTTCATGAATTGTGTTTGAACACTTAATTGCAAATTAGTCTGAAGAAATCCAACCAACAGCATCCTTAAGAGCTTAGATCTGTCAACTGGAAAATATAAGACGTGATACTTCTGACAAACGTGATGGCCTCCAAGGTGCAACTGAGGCACCCCACCGGCAATCTTACCAAAGCCGCGGCCAAGGCTCCACTCAGGCAGCGCTGCCCAACCCTGCAGAGAAAGGCTGGGGAGGGAGGGGCCGGAGCCAACCAGGGGCACACAGCGGCTTACGCAGCGAGAAGGCCCAGCCTAGGGAAAGACCAGAGGCCCCCTCTGCAACTGAGGTGTCCCTGGACTTCTGAAAGGGTCACTCTACTCATGATGGAAGGCAGGTCACACAGAAAAGAGCACATTGATAGGGAGCGGGGGAGGACCAGAAAAAGAATATGCCCATTTGATTTAACACTTCTCAACCACAGAACTTGAAAATACTTTGTAAATTTCCATAGTGCCCTTTTTATAATCAGGAATTCACAATGTACCATACAATATGTCACAGTTTGCCTACAATTTCTAGTACACATCCCCTCCCTCTAGAAAGTTATGTACTATGCTGTTACTTTCCTTTTTAAAAAAAATCACAGAAATATTCTCTTCGCTTAATATTCTAACACATGTACACTTCTCCAGAATAAAAGTGGCTTTGCGGTTGACCGCCATTGATGTCTTTACTCGGCTGCACTGAGTATGATTATTCTGTGAAATAAACTTGTTCTGACAATTAGAACACGATTTGCCACCCTGCTTGATAAAGATAGCTCAAATAATTTTTCTTCACTGGGAATTAATTTTTAAACAAAAACTCAGTGCATAAAAATGTAAGTTTAACTAAAACCAATGTCATGTCTTCTATGGCCTGCCCTCTTCGGCATAAAACATCTCACTACAATTCAGGTATAATGAAGGTTGTACTACGTAGCCTACAGTCCATGCCACCAAAAGTGGTCATAATCTGTTCTAAAGACTGTGTCCTTGACAACAGGGAGGAAGGTGAACTTTGTGATTTTCCCCTTCCTTCAGTTTATAGCCCAGGCAACTGCTGGACTCATGAGCTTATATCCATGTACTTGACCATCTTACATAGAACTGGTTATAAAGATTTCTCTTCTTTAAAATCATGACGTAATAGTGATATGTAAGAAACTTATTTTGTATGGTTTCATTCTTTTCTTCTCCATCTTGAGAAATTCTAATTTCATTTTAAGAATTGGGTCAACTATTACTACCAGAGAGCAAACTTTTGATGTACAATGGAGATAAATAATACCTATCTCATAGGGTTGTTAGAGATTAAATGAGATGACCCAAGCAAAAGCACTGGCGTATAAGATTTTAAATGTTAGATAATGTAATTCACAATAGATGGCTTCATTATATCACTTACCCCTATATTACTGGCTTATACACTTGTATCCCCCTCTAAATTATAAACATCTTGAATGCAGGCAACAGCCATATCCTTCATCATACCTTCAGGGCTTTACCCACAGTAGTTGCTCAGTAACAATGAACGTATTCCTAAATCTTACAGCAAAACTATGTTGTACAAGCTAAAAAGTCACAGCATTCTGAAATTGGAAGAAATCTTTTCAATACTTACAAATCAGAAGACTACAACTCAGAATGATAAAGTTACTTGCCTAATGTTAAAGCAATGGAGCAACAATTCAGGTTTTTTAAAACTCCAAATCTAATCTTGGAGATTTCCTGTACAAAATTGTTGCAAAGATATCTGAAATACTGGTATCCCATGTAATGACGAACTGTGTCACACCCATTTTTAAAACCTTATTAGAAAACTAAGCATTAACTGATTTTGCTGGGGGTGGCAGTGTGCCCAGCTGAAAAAGCACACACATTTCCAAGTCTCCTTTGCATGTAGACGTAGCAGTGTGACTACCTTCTTGTCAAAACAAGACTCTTGACTGGTGCTTTGGAAAAAGTTAAAAATATCTATAAGCCATACAAAATGGCTTTAGCCCATTTCCATTATAAAGTTGCCTAGTCATCCTAACAATGTATCATAGACACCTCACAATTTTTAAAACTATACTTCAGTAACTGTATTCAAAAATATAGATGACCACCACACATTAGCCCACATCCCCTAGAGTATAAATAAAAAATGGAAAGGTAATTTCTCTTTCCGTTCTAGAATTCAGCCATACAGATTTCCAGGGTTAGCTTGCCATCTTGTGGCCTCTCACTCCAGTGCAGCTCAGTGAAATGGATGAGCTTTACACCCATGCACACATACTACTTGTATGTAGTATCTAAGTTCATTGTACCTCCAATGTCACTCCCGGACCAACTTTCTTCCAACAAAGGCTGACAAACCTTAAGTCAGAGACACAGATGCTGGCTAGCTACATGTGAATCACCTAATCTTAAATATATGCTCTGTGAGACAAGTGCTCAGAAAACATTTGAGTATTTACTGAATAAAACATTCATATGTTTCCTGAAAAGGAGTGTAGTTAACTTTTTTGGTGAAGCCAACGTGAACATGGCCTCTTATAAAGATGGGAAAGCAAGGTAATAACAGGATTTAAATGTAGATTTTACCGAGTCCCAATGTTGACATGGTCTTTCTTCCCAGTCTGACAAGACTATGAAATCTAGAACGTCTGCTCTCTCCTGAAGGTGTACACACTCACACAGGTGACTATAAATTTTCCTTCGAGCAGTATGCTAAGGATTGTTAGCCTAAGAACACATGGATTTCTTAGATGAGCCAGGCACATGAATAAAAACTCGTGATAAACTCCAATGCCAGCTACTCTCCTCCTGTGGTTGTGATTGAATGAGTCGACACATAAGCAGCTCAAAGCAGTGTCTGACACACGACTATTTATTAAATACTATATGGTGTCCTTACTAGAGAGCCAGAATTCAGTCTTGGGCTTCCTAAGACTCCCTTCCAGGATTTTGGAGCTCAGCACTTTGTAACTGCTCCTCCACTGAGAGCACAATTCAATGTACATATCAGACTTGAAGGCTCTGCGGGATCAATCTGCCTTCACTTCAAAGTGTATTTCTGAGAAAAGCTGTCTAAACAGATGCTATAGCTTAGTAAGTGAGAAAAGGAAAAAAAATAGCTGGGCCATTAGGAATGCTGGGTTCCAGCCTATAGTTTTAAAATAAAAATTCAGATTTTCTCAGTTACACACACACACACACACACACACACACACACGAAGAGGGAGGGGTGTGTATGTGCCGGGGGGGTGCAATAATGTTCAGTTAAAAGTTCAATGTACACATAACTGTGACTGTGTTGGAAAGACCCACACCATTATCAAGAATATTTTCAATATTTCAGTCCTGGCAAAGCAGCTGTTTGCTGCCTTTCATACTTCTTTTTGACTCAGCTACTTTGGCTGGGAGCTGGTGTGGGATCAAGATTTTATTGGAATAAACTATAATAGCGTCCTTCAGTTTCTCATTTTTACTGATAACGATTACATTAAAATAAACCACCACCCTAGTTTTAAAGGGTAAGACATCCATGTATGCTGTGTGATAGAACTTAAAAGTTTACCTTATTTACCAAACACACTGCACTGCTCTCATCCTTGCACTGCGTTTCCCCACACACCCCTGGCCTGCCCCTTCAGCCAGCAGGACAGCAGAGAAAGCATCCTGAACCAGGGGCCCGGCCTGCTTTATGTTTCCCCAGGTCTGTATTCATCTATGAAACGGGGTTCCTAATTTTCCTGCTCTCATGGGGCAGGGGTTGAGAATTACATTTCACAGTGCATCAAGAACACCCGACCTCTATCATGGGATTCAGAATTTCCTTTGAGGGCATACATACTTGAGTGAAAACTTGTAATGCTCCAGTTTTAAGAAGCCGTAAGTAGATTTAGTGAATACAGTAACGGTGATTTTGAAATTTTCACAGTAAGTAAATGTGATGAGTTTACACCTAAAGCAGCAGGTTTTTCAGGTTAGAGGCAGTGAACGAGGGCCAGAACGACTGAGTTGTCTGAACATTTGGAATGTATTGCTATCAGGTGTATTGGAAATAATGAGGTTCATTCTTGGTATACTCCATCCCCCTTACCATCCCTAAGCGTCTAGGTGTTGGTTAACATCTTGAAGCCTCCGCGTAAAAGGGGCTACTCTGGCTTGACCACGGGGGATGAGGGGCACTCTCCTTATGGCTCCTACATGCCTGTTTCCAATGAAAAATTTCCTGGTGTGATCTGCTCCTGAACAGTTTAAACCCACCTGTGTCCTCAGAAGCCCAATGACTTCTTGAACTCCTCAAATATTTTGAATACTTGTAAGTCACTCTATAGAGGGACTTGGCACATGAGGGCTATTGTTATCACCAATGCCCTGTTCTCCAGCTAACCTGGGGGGATAAGGGTATTTAAGGGATCGAGGTGTAACGCTGAAGCCTGTGTAAGTGCAGCTTCATAGCAAATTCTTTTCCATGCCTGTAGCTATTTGGGGGAACACAAGAACCTGGTAGCTTAAGGCGGCAGCAAACCAACCTCTGACTACAAGTTTCAATTATAGTGCTCCCAATACCCAACTGACTAGGGTGCACAGACAGCTGGTCAGAACCCATTCAATCTTCCCACAACTGTGTCTCACTCAGTTCCTTTTCTGTTGGTTTCTGTGGTTTAGGAATACACCACTCTAGTGAAGATACCTAGTAGTGAGCCCTTTGTTCTTCTGTGTTCCCTACCTTCATCAATAATCACCTCTTCTATGGCTCCAGAAGTTTTCTTTTCTTTGTAAACCAAGTAAATAAAAAATATAAAAATA